TTGGTAGGGGTACATGCGGCGGGATGGCAACACTCAAGGTGGGTGGCAGGACGGGACTCCACCCACGGGGGGCGGAGTTAGTGCGGAAAACCATAGTTGCAGTACCCGTGGGCCTAGAGCGTCCAAATTTGGTAGGAGTACCCAAGATAGGATGGGCACGCATATAGTAGGTGACAGAATTGAGCTCCTCCCACAATGGGCGGGGTTTGTGTGAAAAACTTAAATTTGGACTCAGAGCGTTCAAAGTTGGTAGGAGTACAGGCGGCAGGATTGGAACACTAATGGTGGGTGGCAGGACCGGACTCCGCCCACAGTTTGGCCAGAAATTCATAACTCCTTCAGGGGGCGGGGCTCGCCTAGAAATGTCAAAATGGACCTAGAGCGACCAAACATGGAAGAATACAGGAGGCAGGATAGGAAAACCGATGGAAGGTTGCAAGACTAAACTCCGCCCTAAAGGGCTGGGCGTGAATAAATACTATTAATTTGGACCCAGACCGTTGAAACTTGAGGACGCAAGGAGTCGGCTGGGAACATTGATGGTAGCTAACATAGTAGACTAAGCCGCGATGAAGTATCTGAATACTTTTTTCTCTGAGTAATCGCATTTGTGATACGATGCGATGTTCTATTCGGTCACAGCGAAGATGGCTTACAGAAAAAATCGCTCCTGATTCGGAGCTAATACTGAGGGTGTAGAGCTTTCAAAGAAAAAGGAGAATCCGAAGTGTTATTTACGCATAGCAAATTTCTCACAGGAAGGAGGAGCGCCCGGCGTAGCCGGGCGAACCCATAAGAAGGAGGGAAGCCTATTTATATATTCTTGGCAATTTCATTAACCATATCTTATAACCTCATAAGTATAACCTATACTCAGGCTAATTTTTTACACCAAATATGAGTGTGAATCTTTCACAGATGGTGTGTCATTCGATCAGAGTTGAAAATTATTGGACATTGACATTGTTTGACATTTCTCATATAACGCGACCAAACCATCTCTTTCAGATTGTCATATTCCGCCACAAGGAGGTAACTGTGTATCCAGATGAATCGAAGAAGCCTCCGTTGGGTGAAGGATTGAATCGTCCGGCAGAAGTGACTTTGGAAAGAGTGTGGCATATTGATAGGGCTACTAAAGAAGAGATAAGAGTCAGTGAATTTGCGGCAATTGAATAATGCGTTCAAATTATTTCATCAACATCATTCGAAGGATCCATTGAAACTGATCGACCTTGGGTGGCGAGATCGACTAGAGAAGGTGACGGCACGTATGGGTGCTACATTTAAAGACTATCGGCCTTCGACCGGTAGTTGGGTTTTCCGCGTGGAGCACTTCAGCAAATATGGGCTGCCGGTGAGTTTCAGAATTGGTTGTTAAGGCATATTGATAGACCTACTGAGGAAAAGATCCGAGCTCGGCATGTTGAAGCCACATTACTATAACGAGTGTTTTTTAAGGGATCTATATTTTGTCCAGTAGTAGATTTTATACAGAGAGATCCCGAAGTAATGATGGGCACCTTCTTCAGGACGATGAAGACGATGCTGATGTAGCAGTCGTTCCGAAGTCGCGCGGTACATCAACTCTCTCTGGCGATATCTCTGCTAATGACCTGAACACATCCTTGGAGGAACACCATTTACAGTCTCATGTGCAACGTGCAAAAGTACCAAAAGTGCAACTGCATACCGAAGGAGGTGAAGCGATCCACGAGGTACAGTTGTGACCGTATGGAATCCAGTCTTTTTGAGAAGAAAACTCGTTTTCATAGTTTATCAACTAGTGCAGGGGTAGCTGTTTTTGTTTCCTCGTGGTCTAACCGCAGTATACAAAGAGTTTGCTGAAGTTTGGGACATACCAGAAATTTCTAAGCTGCGCGATTGCAGTTTTCTTTTTTTCTCTGCTGTACAGCTGTTTATACCCATTTAATACATACGCTTTCGATGCTATAACACTCATGCAAAAGCTCATTTTGTGATACGACGTGAGAAAGTGCTGGGTTGAAGGCTCAGTTCGGCATCGGAAGCTGCATAATTGTATATGTTTTGTTTCGCAAATGTTTTTATCCCTGTATTCATTAAAAGTTGAGCGTGAAGGGTACTTTTTACTAATTCCTTAGGATTACTTTATTGTTCATATGTTGCAAATTTTATTCATTTTTTCGTTTCGAATTGTTAGACTTAATTTACCATCAAATGTTTGTCTATTTGAGGCTATCTATGTGACGACCGTTGGTCCACGACAAATTTCCTATTATTCAGATTGGTCACAGCTTGTTAGTATTTTGTAGAATGTGTTCCACGCTTCGAAATAAACTGTTGTCTTGGGACTTTAAGTCGAAGATTAGAATAGGTAGTAGATAGCGTAGGTGGCGTAGAAAGAGTAGAAACTGTAATGTTTGTTCAGCCCACAATTCCTGTAAGTAGTATGATCTTCTCTCATTAACCCAGCAGTTGAAGAGACAATTTTACCTCATTCTTAACAACCTAAACGAATTCTACTCACTTAACAAAAAAATCAGAAAACTGAACATGATTGCATAGTTTTTGTGATTGCTCCGGTCATGAGGATTTTGGATTAAACTGCATTTGAAACGAATTGTGGATTAATTTTCGTTTCAAATGCAGTTCGAATTAAATCTTCGATATCTTCATTTGCTCAAAATACAAAAAGAAATTGCCAACCAGTTCTTGATGCAATTTTTTTCTTTCTCTTTGTTACCCAATTGGGGAGTTGTGAACAACTTCTTTATAGTTATAGTTGAACTCAAAATTGTACTTTCTTCAAGAGTGTCATTGGACGTCGACTTAAATTGATCAGCTCAGGTTCCCATTGAGACGGACATCAACGTGCTGCCGAGACGTTACCCAACATCGGAAGTGAAGGTGTCATTTTTTTCTCTTCATTTCGCTAAGTTCCTTGGTTTTTCAATGGTAGGAATAATTGAAAATGGGGATCATCGGTAAAATTATCATCACTGGACCATCGAATAGTGAAGTTTTGTTACTCCTTTCAGAAGGTTTCTTTTTTCTTACCGCTAACCAAGAAGCCCTTCCAGGTGAAAGGACTAGGAGGTCGCATGGATGTGGACTACGATGATGAGGCGATGTACGAAGATTATGAAATTGCAAACTGGAGAGATAGCGAGGCGAGATTCGATGTTCCTTTATTTTTAGCAGTCCCAAGTTTGGTAGTAGTACGTACTAAAATGATTCTTATTTCTAGGAATTCCAGGTGCCCGAGAAAAAACCGAAAATGGAAGAGGTTTTAGATTACGTTTACGAGGAGAGCAAGTAAGTTGAGCTATTATGTAGTGATTGAAAATGAGAACTACATGATCGTTTTAGACGTCTAATGGAACTCTCAACGTTGTCTGTACGACCTGTTCGTCGCATAACTCTAACACGCAGTGAACCTCCAAATGTCTTTCGAGGAGGAGTTGAGGTTTGTGTAACAAAAATGGTTCATATTACCGATCTGAAGCCAATTATATTTCTCTTGTGTGTATACTGAAGTTTTTTTTTTGTTTGGTTAGTTATCGCTTCCGATTTAGGCATGTAAGACCGTCGGATACAAAAAGAGTGCTATAATAAATGCTGCTTGCGCCCATGGTTCATCCAGCCGTGTTAGTTGGAGTCAAGGCAAGTTTCTTTGTAGTATTGAAGAGCTGCTGGTCCCCTTGATGTCCGTAAATATCAAATGCAAGATTACCCGTAGCGTTTTCATTTTTAGGTGGACAATTCTCGTTCAGCCTACAACCGGCATCAAATGAAGTTCAAATATGTGCGCTTCAATTTAATAGCAATGTACCCAAGGTGAGCGTATGAAATATTAAATATAGTCAGCTACAAAACTAAATCGCCAAGCTAAGTAGTAAGCCACTATTTACGTCCGATCGGGACCAAAAATTCAAACACAGATGGCTTTTGTTCTCTTTTTCTAAGCATCCATCATGCGTGTGCTCACATCGCCTTAGCTACACTAACTTAGATCATAATATAGTATAACATATAGTCCAGTATCAAAGCAACTCAAAAAGCCTCTGTTAACGAGGACCACAGTATTGGACTGCGTCTTTAGCAGAAAGTTTCTGACGATATATTGTGTATAAGGAAAGGGAGTCCTACTTACAGCAGCTCATCATCGATATGCTTGAGCACAATGTTCGATTATCGAAAACAATTCATCGAAATTCTTCAACAAGCGCACGTGTGCGGCATTGTGAGATCGAGGGTCAGTCTTCCGCTCCACGCGTCAAACCAGCTGATGACTCGGCAATGGAGCTCTTGGACTCGTTTTTGGCAACAGCAACGCAGAGTTAGTTTAACATTTCTCCATTACAGATTTAGGGGTTTCAAACAGCTCTGAAAGATTGCTATGGTTTAACACCAAGTACCAGTTTCAATGATCTGAAGGATTCTACTATGAGGAGTATTTTATTATTACCTTGTACTTTGAGGTGAATGTGTTGTGGAGCAGAGAGTGTGGCGTTTGTGCCAAGCCCTCTTCTTGGCTGACAAGTCTGGTAAGTTGTCTAAAAAAACTCTTGGAACCTCGCTAACTAGCCCAATCCTACCATTGTGTTACTTATAGGTCAGTGGCACTGGCAACGTGCTCATGAAGTTGGCAAATGGCTTCGTGATGAAGTAGCAAGTCTTCCGAAAAAGAAAGCAGCTGGAGGAACAGCAATTGGTTATTCATCATTATTCATGATTATTGTTATTTTTTAGTATTCAAATGCGTAGGTTTGAGGGCGTAGGTAGTACTGCATGTATTAGCAGTAATGGTGAGCTTTCATTTAAGTTTCACAAATCTGGGATCGAATGTGCTGTGGTGATATCGAAGAGGCTATGAGGACGGCAAATGAAGGTGGACTGACAATGTTATCACTGATGATCTCGGCAGCGCTTTCGGCAGAGGAACCTGGGCGAAGTGACTGTGCCAACATGGTGACTTCTTAGGATTGGGTGCTATGGGTTATACCCACTTTTTCCGAATTTCATTGTTTTCATCTAATTTAATGTTTGGTGCATTATGTTCGTTTGAGCTGCAAATGTGGGAGGCAACTAATGAGCTTGGTGTACTGGAGGACGATCTTCTCAAAATCTACCTCGTACTGGCTGGTAAGACTCATGCAGAATTCAAACATAAAGGGAAAACGATCAAGTTGAACTGTTTGGAGGGTCTCGATTGGCGACAGGTGCGATTAAAATCTCTTTCTGATCAGTTACTTCATAATGCAGCTCGAATTCAATTTAGGCATTTGGCATCCATCTGTGGTGGGTCAACTGTGGAGGATTCCTCGAAGATGCCCTTGATTCGTTCAGCGAAGATGTTGCGGCTGGAAGAGCCGCCTCGCCAGATTCCCACGTTTATGAGCAGGTAGGTTGAGGAATTGCTGTTTTTTGGAACTTTCAACTAATTAAATCAAACTTTGCAGCTTATACGTCTGGCATGTTCGCCAAGCCATCAAGTCGAAGCTGTACTCGACGCTGCGTCGATGCTTAGTCCTAACCCATTAGATGCTCACCTGAGGTTGGTAACTTTATATGAGATGAATTTTCCTTTGAATCAACATTTCCTCATTGTTTCGACTTTCAGCTGGCATATTTGGTCATTACTCCGGGCCCTTGGCTACAATACAATGTCACCGGCTGCTGAGCAGCGGCTTCATACTTCGTACTCGTGTCTACTGACATCTCTAGAACAGTGGCATCTTGCAATATTCGTGCTCAGTCACATTAGTCACGATCAATGGTAAGCGCGCGTAATCGATATTGTACTTATGTGAAAGGGACAATCAACTCAGTCTGAAGTTTCTAGTCGAATAGTAGCGATCCGGGATGTATTGGATCGTATGTCGTTGACAGCTTGTCCGCAAGACTATGAACGAATCTCGGCCATATGTGAAATTCCAATTGAATGGATTGCTGCAGCTAAGTGCGCTAAAGCAAAGGTACTATTTTTTTATTGCTTGCTTACACTACAGTTTACTTATTTTTTTGCATCACATCTCTCGGCAATCTTCTTCCAATCTCAGTTTCTCATTCTGTCGAATTTTCCTTCGCGATGGGCTTATAAGCGGAGCTAAGGTCTAATTCACAGTCCCTTTTGGCTTACTTCTCTTTTCTCCTCAGCAAGACTCTCTTCTGAGCTTGATTTAATTGTTAACAATATATTGTCCGCCACTAATTTTTCGTCATGTTTTTCAGTTACCATTTTCAGGCCCTACCTGCCTGAGCGGTTGAGAATAAGCTGTGACTAATTTTTCTGCAACTACCGTCTGCTGTACACGGGTTTCACTTATTTAAGGCACAAGGAAACTTCGAACTGGCTTGTTCATACTCCCTAACCGCCTGCGACTACGCTGGTGCATTGCGGTTATTCACAGAAGAAGTCGCGCCGAATGCAATTGCCATGGGTGACTTACATAAACTCCGTCCATTGGTGGAACGAATGGAAAAAGTCGCTGATAAAATCACAGTGCGTTGTTGATGTGTTTAGTGAGACTTGCTTTTTGTCCAGTTTTTCATAGTCATAGCCGTTACAAACTTGGTTCAGGGTTGGGGTGCTGTCGGACAGATCTATGCCGATTACTGCGAGTTGAAAACAATGGACGATGATGATGATAGCGAAGAAGCTGTATGTTTTAGTCTATTTGTCATCGGTTAGGCTCACTCATTCCAAGTTTCAGGAAGAAAAAATTCATCAGCTCGTAGACTCGATATTTACGCGTATTCAAGCACCGATATTCAAAACTCCGATCCAACGGTTCGTAATTTTAGTCCTATGACAATTTTTTCTATTTTCCCGCCCGATATAAGGTTTTGGATAAATCTTATGTGGGCCCATAGGGTTCCTAGAGGCGCAAAGGCTGTAATTACTGCGATTTCGAGTAAGGTGACTGAGACTTCCTCATTGTTCATGTAGCAATTATTGCCATGGAATCACCGTCATTAGATTGATTCCCTTACCATTTCCTATGCTTTATTCGTGGTTAGTAGCTTTCACAACCTTCCTTAGGTAACTTGATGTAGTTCGTTCCCGGTAGTAAAGCACATGGGAACGAAAGCATGTGCCGATGTTGTTTATCTTGGCATATACATATCTATTATAGTACGGTCGGGAAGGAGCCTCGGACTTTCAATGAAGTTTGCCCATCCCCACTTCCAGTCCTGCCTTAGCCCGGTGGCACTATTGCCTTTCATCCCAGTGGGCTGCCCCCTTTTATGATCTAGCCTTTTCACCAGGTTAGAAACCAGCGCAACGATGAGGCAGTACTTTACATGTCCTTGTTATCTACACGATTAATCAGATACACGCCCCATTCCTGCTGGTTTGACGGCTGTTACACCTTCATCGAGCAAGAAAATTTGTTTTTTGCTCAAGCTGTGAAGCTAGTAGTTTTTCCGAATACGACATCCACTCGCAGCCGGGGTAAAGGATTTTGGGTTGAAGCCTGCCTTCATAAATGTGGTGATGAGTCTGGCACGAGTTTTGGCGTAGGCCTTACACAATTTGACTAAAGAGCTTAGGTATGAATGCGTGAAGTTAGGTCAAGTTAAATATGAATGTAGAGAGCTGAGACTCAAAAATAGGCGGTTTCCCATATGAAATTCCACCGCTGAAACTTTGCTTTTAACTCGTCCACAATGGTTTAAGTCAAACAGGATTGTATGCTCTAATGTGTACCCTTTTAAGCTTGTGCATGAGAACAATGGCTCGAGAGTTATTTGAAATCAAGCGATTGACCGGTCAAACGGATTCCAACCTGCCGTTAAGTGAAAGTCAGTTAGCAAAATTGATTTGTTGATAACACATTCCTATCATGATGATTACCAGTTCGCGGTTAGGTTCCTGCCATTTGTACCATGAAATTGTGATAACCTATTACTAGTATCACGCTATAAGTTGTCTCATTAATGCATCTCGGTAGATTTAAATATAAGTACGTTATAGGTTTCCTTGTTTTTGTTGTATGAATCTAGCTTCTTGATATCTTTCCTCCCGGATTACTCACACTACCATTACGACATTGATCATTACGGTTCCTGCACACTCGTTTTGTTTACATATGCTGTATCTTGCATTCGTCTGTTATAAGTTTGATAAAGCAATTAATTGCCAAGTGATCTTCTGGTTTTGAAATGTTACAACAACTTTGATTCACACAGTTCATTACACAATTCGATTGGATGTGTCCGTATGGAACACAACACAAATTCGATCAGTTGCTGCCTCCACGAAGACGGAGCACCAAATGAAGTGTCGACTCCTTTTGGATGTTGTAATCCGAGAGTGTGCGACCATCTTCGAGTTGTTTACCTAGAGCGCAGAAGTGAATGTATATTGTAGATGAAAGGCAACTGATGAATCTCGGCATTTATACGACTCTGTAGCTTAAAAATAAATACCAACCGGCAAAGATAAGTCGCTGTTGATCAGGTGGAATTCCTTCTTTGTCCTGAATCTTAGCTTTCACATTTTCGATCGTGTCGGAGGCCTCCACTTCCAGAGTAATAGTTTTTCCAGTTAGAGTTTTTACGAAGATCTGCATGCCTCCGCGAAGGCGCAGTACGAGATGGAGGGTGGACTCCTTCTGGATATTATAATCGGAAAGAGTACGACCGTCCTCCAGTTGCTTACCTGAAAAAGAAGCTTTTAAAGCAAAGTCGAGACTACAACTTTCCAAAAGTATAGCCACGTGAAAAAGTTAAAGAATCACCGGCAAAGATGAGCCGCTGCTGATCTGGCGGGATTCCTTCTTTGTCCTGAATCTTGGCTTTGACGTTTTCAATTGTGTCCGAAGCTTCCACTTCCAATGTAATAGTTTTTCCAGTAAGAGTTTTCACGAAGATTTGCATGCCTCCACGAAGACGAAGTACGAGGTGCAGTGTAGACTCCTTTTGAATGTTGTAATCCGAGAGAGTTCGTCCATCTTCCAGCTGCTTCCCTAAAAGATTATTCGCAATTGGATCAGCCCTATTCAGTAGTGCACACGATAAGAAACAAATATATTACCTGCAAAAATGAGCCTTTGCTGGTCTGGTGGGATTCCTTCCTTGTCTTGGATCTTCGCCTTCACGTTCTCAATGGTGTCAGAAGCCTCTACCTCCAAGGTGATTGTCTTTCCAGTCAACGTCTTCACGAAAATTTGCATTCCTCCTCGAAGACGCAGCACCAGATGAAGAGTCGATTCCTTCTGGATATTGTAATCCGAAAGGGTGCGACCATCCTCCAGCTGCTTTCCTGAAATCAGTAAACTGATAACTGGCATAAGGAGCCCATTTCATAGGTATTAATGCGTTGAAGAACGCTTAGCTGACGACCTTATTTACATCAAAACTCGTATTCCCATCATGTAATATTCACCTGCAAAGATAAGTCGCTGCTGATCAGGTGGAATTCCTTCTTTATCTTGTATCTTGGCCTTGACATTTTCGATTGTATCAGATGCCTCAACCTCCAATGTAATCGTCTTTCCTGTCAACGTCTTCACAAAGATCTGCATTCCTCCTCGAAGACGAAGTACCAAATGGAGGGTAGATTCCTTCTGAATGTTGTAGTCCGAAAGTGTGCGGCCATCTTCAAGTTGTTTGCCTGAAAGCACGATGTCTGGAGGCTTTTGTCTTCACATACGAGGAAGTTTCAGGGGCCCCAAGTATTCAGCGGAATACCACTGATGCTCTATTCTACCACTGAGCTGCAAGTGGCCGTTGTTTTACGAGTTATATTGGAATGTGGGATTAAATTAAGACTTGCTCAACTTCTATACTTGGCTTTTGGTTCTGCACCTCACTACGAAAGACAACCTAGCAAGTTCAACATCTATATCTCCTTGGTGGGATCGCGAATATTAACTGACCGGCAAATATAAGCCGTTGCTGGTCTGGTGGAATGCCTTCCTTATCTTGAATCTTGGCTTTCACATTCTCGATTGTGTCCGAGGCCTCAACTTCCAGGGTGATCGTCTTTCCAGTCAATGTCTTCACAAAAATTTGCATTCCTCCTCGGAGACGAAGGACAAGATGAAGCGTAGATTCCTTTTGGATATTGTAATCCGATAGAGTGCGGCCATCTTCTAGTTGCTTTCCTGAAGTAGATTTCATTTAACTGAACATACTCTGCATTCGGAAATCTAAAAATGAAGAAACTGACCGGCAAAGATAAGTCGTTGCTGATCTGGTGGGATTCCTTCCTTATCTTGAATCTTTGCTTTCACATTTTCAATAGTGTCGGAGGCCTCAACCTCGAGTGTGATTGTCTTCCCGGTTAGGGTTTTCACAAAGATCTGCATGCTGAAAAAAGTGACGCGCTCAACGACGTATGAGTGAGTCAACATTACGAAATTACGTCGAGACATCAAATGCACAATAAGAAATTCACCTGACAGATACGAATAGTAGGAAAACAAGGAGAAATGAGCATAAGATAAATGATTCATACGCTCACAGACTTCACTACTTCGAAAGAAACTACTTTGCTCTTCGAACTTCCTCGAAATTTCGAAAAGCAATGTAAGGGATACACTCCCTAATACCTCCTGGCAGCACACTACGAAAGAAATAGCACAGGAAGCCAGATGAACTGGCAAAACGAGTGGGAGGACAGAACCAGCACTACAACAGATTTGCCAGTCCAACCAAGGGCAGAAGTAGGAAGCCCATAAGCGCTAGTAAAACAGCTTAGATGTGCCCCAGGGGCACGAACCCCCTCCAGGGCTGAGAGTGAAACTCGAAAACATTAAAAAGGAAGCAGGAACAGTGACCAAGCACCACCAACCACGCCGTCCTCACCGAATGAAATAACACCAGCCGGCCGGCAAGTGATGCCGATCGATAATACGCCCCGCCCACAGGACATCGTCTCGTCGCTCGCCGAGCGGCGGAGGGCATGGGAAGAACGCCGTGATGCTGACGATCAGCTGATTAGCGCTGGTCAGTATGGATCGATCGATTGATTTTTTCCAGTTAGGGATATTACGGGACGAAACATGGCCTGGCACTTTCACGTTGGGAAGAGAAGAAACTTGCTTTGCCGTGCTGATCGCTTCGAAAGATCGAAGCTGTCTCAGAGAAACTCGTTTCTTCTTCCCCACTAGCGGTCCACATTTGCAAAAGACATAGCCCGCTTTCCCTATTGCTGGGAGGTCTCCTATGTAATTGGAAAAGTCCCTTGTTCCAGTAATTGCTGAGTATTTGCCGGATTGAAATTGGATCGTTTCCATCCTAACCCTCTAAAGTGGAGTCTACATCGGGTCTGAAAAGCTGCATCGGGACTATGCCATTGCCCTATGTTCGCCTAGCTAAAAAAACTTGTTGGGGAGGAGAGGGGATGTGCTCAGAGGAAAAGGGCCCAGCGAGCTTAAATAGAAGTCTCACGCTCAGCTCAAGTGTATTGGCCAAAGATGAAGCATGCCTTGTTTACGGGGCATGAAAAACAAGTCCTAGGGGGAATCGTGCAAATTCCAGAATAATCGATGGTTCTTCGCGATGTCTGCTTCCTCTCGGGCAACATTCTGCCACTGACTCTGCTCACACACATTTTGCATTGATGCATAAACTTTTTCTGTCGCATTCGCAGCGGGCTGCAGCCCATCGATTAGGAAATTCGGGAAGGCTCGGGAATGCACTGCTGAGCGTTTCCTGGTGAGCTCTGGTGAGCCAGCTTTTTAAGGAAATACTTACTAATTTATACATTCTTGATGGGCGGAAGTGTTTTCGGATTTTGGAGAGTATGGTAGCCCTGGGAGTGTATTCTGAGGGAAGCGAAGGCTCTTAGTGTGCTGAAAATTTTTTATAGACTGAATTTTTATTCTGATGGGCTGACATCTGTTGCCTGAGATACTGTAATTAATGTTTAGCCTAAGCTCTTGCTGCATTCAATTAGGTCAGACTGCAATATTGGTTAGCGTCACCCGAACGAGAGCCCACTGCACTGAAGTGAAGCTCCGAAAGAACCTTATATGGAATAGTACTAGTGGACTACAATTTACCAGTTGATGAGTATCTTAGTGATCTATAAGGGAATTGCCTGAATGTGCAAGGACCATCATCGAAAAAGATTTCTACAGGAAGAGAAGGGACTTCGTAAGCCACAATGGAGCACTTGCCACTGCCATATGTTCCGTACACAACTGATTTTTCAGGTTGGACAGTTTGACAAATATTTTTCGAAAAAGTTGCCCAGACAGCTTGTCGATGCTATTGCCATATCATATTTCCTTCACTTGCAATGTGAGGTGGAATTTTTTTTTGGAAAAAATAGGATACGACATTTTTAATGGGAGACCTGGTTCCCTGTTTATGTCTCAGCTGCTTAAATTACTTAACTTCTTCATGTGGCCGGGTCCAGATGCTGCCAAGACTCTCCAACGGGAGGCCGTCAAAGTAATGAACAGAATTCCTGAGTATTCAAGGGAGACGGCCCACAAGATAAAGTTGTTGGCAGTGTCATGGAGAAAGCGCTCATCTGACAACAACAACTTGAAATCACCACTTAGTAGCGGGCTGTTTGCCTAACTTTTGGAGGGGACGACAGAATCATTTGAGGACGAGGTTTAACCGTATGTCGGAGCCCTACAGTCTCTTAATGGATCATGAAGATACTTACTTTGCCCAATTTCTCGGTACAAATGACCTTTAATGTGAAGTCAGGGATGGAACACGCTTGCCGAAGTAATGAACTTGCACGAGACGTATTTGGACCGGCGTGCACCAAGCGGGGCAAAAACATGGCGGACTCCCATCGATCGTGTTTGGAGTCGCTGACATCCTTTTTTGGGGGTGTTACGGTAGCTTAACGGAGCCATTCGGCATGCGTTCATTTTTCGCTACACCCTCTAACCGACTCGATATTTCACAGCGTTTGCACAAGGCCGACGACAAGTTCTTTGAGTTTGGGGTACTTTGGATAAACCTTGGAAAGTGATAATGCTAATCAGTGACCCGAACCTGAAATCACGTGAAGTAGTTGCAACAAAATCGGTATCTATCCTTAATCTCAAGTGTACTGGCTACAAACGACTTAAAATGACCTCGAAAGAAAGGCCAAGCTCCCTCAATCCACTCCCAATTACACTGGCGGATTCCCTATACTCTGAATTCACAGTAACTATGAATTTAGCTCCGTATCTACTGTATATTCTGCACTGTTGGCCAGTATTGTGCTATCCAAAATTCAACTATAAAACCTTTGGAAGGGTATTTGCTGTGCCATTGCGGTTTATTGAATATGCAAGGGAAAACTGGTATCTGTGCCATTTGCACAATGTTTTTGCGTCCGTGTGGAAAGTGCAAGACATGTGATGAACCAAGAGTATTTTGGTGAGTGTTCTGATTGAATATAACGAGCTAGCAACCATGGCAACAACGTTTGCCATCTTTCAAAACGGCAAACAGATTATGTCCACGACTAAAAGAAGTTTATGTCTAGGGAAAACCTGTCTGTGAATTGTTGAATGCAGAGTCGCTGTAAAGGTTTAGATGCGAATTGATTGGCGGAATCCTGGATTAATAAAATTGTAGAAAGTGTCATTGTGAGCATCAAATTTGACTGGGTGAACAATGGAACCTGGGATTGCCTAGCTATAGATGGCGTTTCGGAATAAGCCAGTCTATATTTGTCTAATTCTTGGAATTGATCCCTATGAGACCGTCCAGGGTGAAATCTGAGTTTCTTCAACAAGTTCACTACCAAGTATTTTACAGTCACGAACTGAATCACGAGAGGGTCAGGACATCCCTTAGCATGAAAGGGTCTCTCTCAGNTTGGAATTGATCCCTATGAGACCGTCCAGGGTGTAATCTGAGTTTCTTCAACAAGTTCGCTACCAAGTATTATACAGTCACGAACTGAATCACGAGAGGGTCAGGACATCCCTTAGCATGAAAGGGTCTCTCTCAGTATCTTGGCATTTGAACGATGGAGTCCCAGTCCATCACGCACCACTGCAAACGCAAATTTTTCATCTTCCTTTTATGAGACCAGTTCTCCTTCATTTTTTTAGAGTCCTGTTAGAGAAAGTACTTTTCCCCCTTCCTTCCGACTTGAGTCATCTAATCGCCAAATAATATTTTGTAAAACGTATTACCGTAATTCCACAGGAGGATCCTGAAGTAACGACCGTGTGCTGCTAGCGGGGCTTACAAATGGTGGTCATCGGCGCAAATTCTGGAATGTTGAGCTGGTAGAAGAGCAAAGTCCCTGATAAGACGATGATAAGGGCTATGGTGTTTCATTTATTACCATGGCCATCATTTGGGTCATATGGGCTCTTTTATGAACAAACATGACTGATTGTAAGGTGAATAGCATCACACCATCCGGGCCTGATGAGATGCTGTCATGTGATTGATGTCTCTCCACCGTTAGTATCTATTTTATAGATGTTATTGGCAGCTAACCAAGCAACAACAAATGCGAAAAGGAGGTGAAATCAGATAAGGGAGTCGAAACTGGATTTCTTTGTTCAACGAAATAAAGAGCATGGGACGAGACGTGCGAGGAATAAGCGGCAGAGAACGCTTTGAAGGACTTAAGTGATCCATGGTGCTTTAGGAATCACTGGAGAGGTAATATTTGTCGTCAGAAAAGAGAACATCCTTTATAGAGCCTGATAGAAATTTTTTGAATTGGGGTTGAATTGCCTGGGCCACACTTGCCCTTGCTGATCGCTCAAAAAATCAGCTCGCACTCGATTCCTTCGTTCCAATTAAGTTCCTGTGCATTTTGTAGGTTCATTTGCCGTGCGTCACATTTTGCCATAACGTAGAGCTACCTGATCCATGGCCTTAGGTATACGCGAGGAGACGGTCCAAAGAAGAAGGCGTCGGCCCTTAATGGTCCTTTGAAAAAATCCCTTTGCTTTACACAGCAGTTGGTTCTCACGATCAATACTGTGCGAACGGGGTGACCGCTGGGGGTTTTGAACGGCATCACGGGGCAACTACAAGACTGCCCGATAAACAATGAGGCATGCTACAAGAGGATAAAAAGCTCACTTACAATTAGAAGTCAAAAAAACGATGACGAGGCCAAGGGAAAACTGAAAAGATATCGGAAAAATATTAAATTTTGAGGTTTGTTGAAAGTCTTCTGCCAATAGTGGATAGAAATGGAGAAGTAGTGTCCTCAAGGAGATTGAAGAGAGAGTCGTGGGTGTTTTGCGCAGTAACCAGACACGAGACAGGAACCACAGCCGGGGGACGGTACGAACGTGCGTCCGAGGGCGCGCGGCAAGTTGCGCGGCGAAGTTCGTGACGATTTGTACGACTCTGCCGTCAATTTTTGTTGCACAAACTCGAAGTAGAGTAGTTTAGTAGGGTCAGATGATCCTCCTAATCCACTCTATTTCAAATTTGGGTCCCAATGATAGGCGCCAAAGTCGTTCGAATCATTACGAACTTCGCCGCGCAATTTGCTGCGCGCATCCTCGGACGCACGTTCGTACACATACCCACCACAGCCGGACTGCTAGGGATGGGTGCCTGCGCTGGAT